AAAAGTCCCAAAGAAAGAAGAAACTAAGTCATTAAAAAGCCAAAACAAACGCATGGGTGCCTCCGGTAGATGCCTCCAAGGAAACCTACATAGAGACATCACTACTGTCTGTCCGTCACGGTAAATGTTGTGACTTCTAAAACCTTTGACGAATTTCTGAGAAATTTCTACTTTGGTAGACGTACTACAAGCAGTTACATCGATTCATTCGTCAGAACTACGAGTTACTAATCACAGTCTTCTCTGTCAAGTGCTTCTTCGGGGCTTGTCAAAACAGTGGTCAAACAAGTGAACTTTGAATGAGCATCTGCTCTATCCTCAGCACCGCATGATTGTACCAACTAGTTAAAATAAATGTTAGATCATTTTTTACATACAATATTAATGAGTGCACTGTTAGAGCTTCTGCTCTGAGTCCGATGACCTTCAAACTGGCAAAATGTCTAGTGATGTTGGGGGATGTCACATACGACGAGGAAATCACTACCACCTGTTTCGGAATCATACATTAATTTTTGGAAATGGAGAGAAAGTTAAAAGGTCTAAAAATGGAGGTGGAAAAGTTAAGGAGTCCTACTCGCCACTTATGTGAATAGAAGAATTCGGCAATCCAGAATACGAAGACAGCATATGCACCCAGGACTTTTTTAGACAAACCAAACGCTGAGACTGGAGATGGTTCGTCCAAGGAATCAGACAAAGTTGGTGCCGGTCTATTAGGCCAGAAAAAGACAAGTCAAAACGATGAGATTGGTTTAGGTTTTTTCGTCAGTTCAAAGGAAACTGACAGTGCCCAAGGGGTGCTATATGAAACCTATTCTATTCTAACTCAGAGACCACAGAAACATCCCAGAAAAACGACACCTACCTCTATACGGTCCAAAAAACGAAGTCCGCTTACATACAGGCATACAAGCTGACGAAGACGGCCAGGTGTCCTACTCAGGACTGCCAGAGGCTCCCATTATGTTGGCGAATAAGGATATCGGAACGTCTTTTGAGCCGACACCAAGCCAAAATATTAAAGTGGAGGCGTCGAACGAAATTGAGGTTAGCGTTTCCGACGAACAACACGGAAACACAGAAAGGAATGTTATCGACAGGAAGATGAACGAGTCTTACACGGATCTGAGCTTCGTTAGCGCAAAGACTAGTTCATCTGGAGCCAGCAAAATAAGTAAACTGGAAAAGAACACTCAGCCAGTCAAAAGACGTGCGTCCACAACGAACGTTAGATATAGTCGCAACCAAAATCTAATTATAAAAGGAGTACCTGAATCAGCGGCAACTATTCCAAAGAAGAAGGAGTTAAACACGATTTAGACCTTCATGAAGTGTATGCGAAAGTTTTGTTAAGAGACGGCGTCACTTAATGCACGCAAAGCATTCCGAATAGGGAAGAGCCGGTCCCAATTCACCGTCTCGACCACTAAAAGTCATTTTGGAGACTGAAGCAAGGCGCTGCTCCTGTTACAGAGAAAATTATCTTTGCGGGGACAGTATCCACAAGCTTCTTCACCGGATTATGAGCCAAAAGAGCAAATGAAAATGAGAGAACCGATGACGGAGTCGGAAAAGCGGGGGAGCAACGGAAAACACACCTACAAATCAAGAACTGACAAACAGTTGAGGTTAAACGGACATTTCTCTGGCTGGAGGCCGTCATTCTGACAGCTCCATCAATGCAAAGTTTCCAACTTTTGAGACCGAGAACACCAGTGGACTTTGTCTAGAAGTCTATTACACTAATTTTCAGAGCCTCCTCAGCAAGCTCTATGAACTCAGATTACTAGCCTCTGAACAGGAGCCACGCATAATTATCCTAACAGAGACGTGGTTGACTGAGGAAATAAGTAGTAGCGAAGTCTGTGTTGGAGGCTACCAAGTGTTCCGTTGTGACAGATTTCAACGTAGAGGAGGAGGCACAGCGATTTATTTGTAAAATGATATTTCGTGCTGTCAGCGAGAAATATCCGATGTGGCACCACAGCATTTTGAAATAATTTCATCCAAGATATCTATAAACAAATTTCCGACACATAACCTCTGTGTTGTATATCGACCTCCCAGCTCGGATGAAATCGCCGATATGGAATTACTTAGTGCATTGGAGTTGTTATGTAAGCAGGAGAAAATTCTACCTCTGGATGACTTTAACGCGCCAGGAATCGACTGCCAAATTCCCTTATCAAACGCCCTGTCCACATCATTTAACCACAATCTACTGCAACTCTCCCCGAACGAATACCTCATTCAACACATAAAATTCGGAACACGACTGAGAGGAGAACAACGATCTGACTGTTTAGATCTTGTATTCAAAAAATAAGGAGTCATTAAGGAAGTGAATCCACAACGTCCACTCGTATTTGATGATCATATTGCTTTTACCTGCCTGTGCTCTTTCCTATCGAACCAACAACTAAAAATCAAGAAATATCTGGAAGGGTGACTTTAACGCCATGAGACGTGCTCTTTTGAAAGTAACCTTGTTAGTTAACATGGAAGATTCGGAGGAATTCTGCATTACTTTCGCAGAATTATAGACCGTCTAATTGACTTCAATTGTTCAATAAAATTACCAAGCCCATTTGCGCGAGCACCGTGGGTCACTCTAATGACGAAAAAAGCCATCAATAAGAAATAGGGGCTGTGGAAAAAATATTTGCATCTTCGAGATCCAATAACATTCAGCGAATATAAGGAGCAGCTCAATTAATGCCGCAAACAAATATGGGTTGCTAGAATTTCTTTCGAACCCCGGCTGATAGCAGAATCCATTACATGTCCCAAGACGTTTTATGGGTAAATCCGCGGTAGGAGAAAAACAGGGACGAAATTGCATGTCTAAAGGATAGCCACGGAAAATTATTAGTTGAACAGCCGCAGAAGGTGAAATTACTATCTTGGTTTTTATTTAATGGTTTTTACGGAGGAGTCTTCCGAAGACAATCAGGAGTTTTAAATAGGCCAAGACAGTCGGGAGCCTCAAATGCGCCAAGAAACTGCCGTGATTGAAACTGCTGCTCAGTGCTGCTGTGCTCAGTCAAAAAATCAGATAAGTCTCATGGACGCGACGGAATTTCTAGGCTGATACTTAAGGAGCTATCAACGGAGCTGTCAAAACCTCTTTTAAATCTCTTTGAGCTGTCAGTGAGAAAAGGAAGGCTGCCATCCCAGTGAAAAATAGCTAATCTCGTTCCCCTACATAAGGAAGTTTGCAGGATGGCTGCAAGCAGCTTCAAGCCTATTATCTTAACTTGTCTCATGCAAAACAATGGAAACTCTAATGAAGAGCGTTATACAGCAGTCTTGCGAAGGAAATAGAATCTCACAGGATTTTCAACAAGGCTTCCGGAGAGGACGTTCCATAATCTCAAATCTGCTCACTTGTCTGGAGAACCGGACCAGTTCTATGGAAGAGGGTTTTAAGGTAAATGTGCTGTAAATTGATTTCAGCAAACGTTCGATTCTGTTCCGCACCGACGCCTTCTTCACGAATTGAGCGCCATCGGCATTCGATGAGATCTTCTGAATTGGATAGAGGCGTTTCTGGTTGATCGATAACAGCGTGTCTGTATTGGAGATGATATGTCGGACTGGGTGAACGTAACAATTGGTGTGCCTCATGGCCCAGTTCTGGGACAATTGCTGTTTAATCTCTACGTTAATGACAGCCTTCAGGAAATCAACTATGGTAAAATAATTTTTGCAGATAACGGTAAACTATGGCAAGTCCTTAAGGATTTGTATGATCAGGGATCCCTTCAAAACAATCTGCACCGATTGCAAACATGGTCAGTGAAATGGCTTCTGGGTTTAACTGCTCAGAAGTGTGCCGTACTTCATCTGCGTCTAACCAACTCATTCAACTGAGAGCCTGAGGAGATATCACCTGATGGTCATTAGACTTCCCTCGAGTTCGAATTTATATAAAGGCGCTTCGAATTTGGTTTCAAATTTTCGCCCTCTCTCGGAATTTAGTTTCTTCGAGAAGTCAACTTACTGTACGCTCTTAGAGCCTCAATTAAGACGGAATTAAGACCTAAACTCGACTCATCGACATCTTCCTCCCGACTAGTCTTCTGCAGCACATTCCCAGTACTCCGATTTCGGCCGTGCTCGTTTCTACAACTTGCAAGCCCAGACAGACGGATTATCTGCAGAACAACACATCCGAAGCTTCTACAAAGGCTGAGTTGCTTTTCCACTATTAGACATTGTTTCATCATCGTCTAAAGGATTTGTCTAAATGTCTGCCCTCGGAAGCTTCTCGGCCATATCATATGAAGTTACTTTCTACCGAAAGATCGTCATAAAAGCCTTTTCTTCATAGTTAAGCCCGCGCTCTTTGTGTATATAGAAAAGTTATCCAGAATGTTGGAGTCCGCACCTGTGTTTCAAAGTAACGCGCACTTGGGGTTCGAACCGGGGACCTCAAAAGTTAGAGCCAGCTCCGCTAACCCCTGCACTCTCGCCGCACGACCGGAGCACACAGCTAAAAGCTTTGTTAATTTGTCACCACAGGATCTCGTAGGATATTCATGTAATGGTTGTCAAACGATAGCCTACAAGATGCATCAACTAGAGTAAGAAGTAAGAAATCTGAAGGAACTTATACACAAAACTGTTTCTTCAGAGGCCCGCCCGGGGTTATTTACGCAGAGGTTAACGCGGAGTAGAGCGAGAGCCATCCAGTGTAAAGAATCCCCAGAAAGCAATCATGTTGTGAATAAGACAACTGCTGTTAGTAGGCAAATAGTGGCATCCGATGAAAAAAAGAATAAGAAGAAGACTACACCTAACACCACAGGGAAAACTCGCCAGAATACGAAAGAAAGCATATCGGACTTGTCCGAAAAGCAGTTGAAAAACGAAACGACCGTAAATGTGCCAGCAGAAGAAGTGAAAGGAAAGGAGCAGTTGACGCCCAACCGCAGAAATCCCATACAATGTGCTCATTTCCGGAGCCTAACTTAGAGGGCTTATCGATTAGCGCAATGACATATGGTTATGGACCCACGGTGGAATTAGCTGCCACCGCGAATTCCCATGTCAATAGAGTTGAGAACCGAGCCCAGGAAGCCTCTAATTCACGGGGGTCAAGCTCTCTTCAGAGCCCTCTGATGGGAGGCAGTGCCGATCAACCACATCGTGCAACTATTCATGATGCCTCAACAAGATCCACGGACGAACTTCACGGGGACATAAATACCAATATGACAGCCCCTTCCTTTTCGCCAGTTCACTTCGACGAAGGCAAAGGACCGGTCAACGACGTCCAAACCGCAGAACACAGAGGAATGTTTAACAAGGATCACGGCATCATAACTCAGGGCCTGCCAGAGTCCTCCGCCAGTACCCCCAGGGAACAAGTCGCTGCTGACTTAGAGCAATTTAAGAAACTCTTAAATGAAATGCTGCAACCAACAGAAGATGTCACAGTCGTAAAGGCGTTTCATCTTGGTAGCCGTACAACCGCCGCTCCAAGACCCCTGAAACTTGTCCTAGGTAGCAATGAGCAGGCGAAACTAATCCTTTCCAGACGTTTTCGACTGAAAAATTCCCATAAAGGAGTGTTTTTTTCAGCCGGACTACTCACCTGCCGAGAGAATGAAACGCCGCGAACTTGTCCTAGAATTGAGAACACGACAAACCAACGGAGAAAAAGACTTGACAATCTACAACGACCGGATAGTCAAACGACATTCCGCCCCCCTCTGGATCAAGCCGATCCGAATGACCGCACAGGTACAACGGTAGCCTGTGTCGGGGTTGATAAAAAATTACGCATGAACTCGAAACTCATATTCATGCATACCAACGCGCAAAGTGTACTTTCAAAACTGGATGAACTTCGTATCCTTACCCATGACCTCCACCCAGACGTTATCTCAATAACAGAAACATGGCTCTCCGAACAGTTTGATGATAGAGAACTCATGCTCCCTGGATTTCAACTGTTCCGCAGAGACAGACAAAACAGGAGGGGTGGAGGCATAGTAACATTTATTAAAAATGGCTTATACGTTTCAGAAAAAACTGCCCAATTGACTTGCAGTACGGAAGCGTTGTGGCTGACCATAAGGGCACCGGGCTCTCAAAGCCTCGATATCTTGGCAGTATATCGCCCTCCGAGAAATGACCCTGACGCCGATGCCCAACTGCTGGAGGACCTTAGGCTATTTTCAATGCGACCGGCTACTCTCATCGTCGGAGATTTTAATGCACCTCACAGAAACTGGAGCTCGGCTTCAGCCGACTGGTCTGAAGCAGCATTCGACCAGCAGTTACTGCGTACCTCCGACAATCTGCTTCTAACCCAACACGTAATGTTTCCAACGAGAGTTCGAGAGGGCCAGCAAATGAATTGCCTTGATCTGGTGTTCACCAAGTCCTCTGACAATATCGACGTTGTGAATTGCCTCCCCCCGTTGGGTCAGAGTGACCATGTAGTTCTCATGTGGGAATACACCTTATTCTCCCTGCCTGCACAACCGCTCGATTCCCGACCCAATATCTGGCGCGGAGATTTCGAACAGATGAGAAGGGATCTAAGTCCTATCGACTGGGCATCCACTCTATCCGGCGATGTCGAAGAGGTTTGGTGTCAGTTCAAAGAGTTAGTCCACAACCTCATCTCCAACCATTGCCCAGTCATGCACAGAAGACTAACAAATAGACCCCGCTGGCTGACTCCGTCCTTAAAGAAGGAGGTTAACAAGAAGAGGAAGCTGTGGAAAAGATCCCTGACTGACCGGACGCCAGAATCCCTAAACAGTTATAAGTCTCAGAGAAATCGGGTCAAAGTTCTCATCGCTAGATATCGAAAAGCCTTTGAAAATGATCTTCTCAACCGTGCCAGGGTTAATCCCAAAGTCCTCTACAGCTACATAAGACAGAGCACGCGGAACAAAGACCCCATCCCACTGCTGTGAACAGCCGAGGGAATAGAAATCTCCGATGACAAGGATAAGGCTGAACACCTCTCTCAGTTTTTCCGGTCCGCCGTGACAAGTGCACCTGATTTTCTCTCCCCCATTTGTGAAGACGAAGAAAAGCCCACGCTTGAAGCCGTATTCTTCACCGAAGCAATTGTTCGGAACGAGTTACTTAATCTGAAAGAATGGACCTCCCCAGGCCCTGACGCAATCCCCGCCAAGCTGCTGAAGGAGCTAGCTCCCGAAATGTCCAAGCCATTAGCCTTGATCTTCCAAACATCATTTCTTACTGGATGCCTACCCTCTGACTGGAAGTCCGCTACCATCACTGCGCTTTTTAAGAGCGGAAGTCGTGCGTCTGCGAATAACTACAGGCTAGTGAGACTTACCTCCATCTGTTGCAAAATCATGGAGAAGATCATAAAGAAGGCCTTGATGCAGTTCCTCGAGCAGCACCACCTCCTCTCGGATGCAAAACACGGCTTTCGAAGTGGTAGGTCCTGCCTCACGAATCTGCTCTTTACGCTCGAACGCTAGACCAAAGCACGCGATGAAGGTAGTGTGGTGCACGCCATCTACATCGATTTCAAAAAGGCCTTCGACAGCGTTCCCCACCAACGTCTCTTGCACAAACTGCGCAACGCTGGAATTCGTGGACGCCTTCTTGTATGGATCCAGAGCTTTTTGGCTGGACGGTCCCAAAGAGTGCAGGTCGGGCGTCAACAGTCCTCAGAGGTAAGCGTGGTGAGTGGCGTCCCACAGGGCTCAGTCCTAGGTCCCACGTTATTCCTCGTTTTCATAAATGACTGCATCAAGGACTTAGACTGTGATACCATCCTGTTTGCCGACGACATTAAACTGTGGAAAGTTATTCACAATGCGGCAGACGCAGACCACCTGCAAGCAAACGTGAACAGACTCGAAGGCTGGTCGAAGCGCTGGCTTATGCCCTTCAATATAAGCAAGTGCAACTTTCTTCAACTAGGCAGCTTCAGAGCCTCCAGCCCCAGGACTTACTTTCTAGAGGGCACACCACTGCAACAGGTTGACAGTCAGAAGGACTTGGGTGTATGGATTACATCTTCACTCAAACCAACACTGCACTGCGCGAAGGCGGCTAAATCGGCTATGGCTACACTGCAACTCATTAAGCGAGCATTTATGGGATTAGATCCAGACAGCTTTTCAAAAATATTTGGCACCTACGTGAGGCCTCATCTAGAATACGCCATACAGGCGTGGAGACCTTGGGCTGCCAAGGTCTATACCGTTTTGGAGAAGGTCCAGAGACGGGCGACCAAAATGACACAAGGTCTGGGAGCGCTGTCTTACGAATCTCAACTGTCAACTCTCAACCTGTTTCCACTTTCCTACAGGCAATTACGTGGTGACCTTCTACTTGCATTTCGCATTATCAACGGCCTAGACTGTTGTTTAGATCCCACTGATTATTTCACACAAGCTAACACGCCCAATTTGCGTGGTCATCCCCTAAAACTACGCGCCGGGAAAGCAAGAATCAATGGGAGAAAGTTCTTTTTCAGTCACAGAGTGGTTGCAGCGTGGAATGCCCTGCCCACCGATGTTGCAACCTCCTCCTGTGTGAATTCCTTTAAGTTTAGACTTGACGCGCATCAAGCCTCCCAGTTACCAGCCTTGCATCCACTCACATAACCGGCACCAACTTAAACTTGTTTATTCTACTTGTAACTTGTTAGTAACCGTTATTGATCACTCTTTTTTGACTAGCTGTCAGCGATTACGTACAAAACCCCTTTTTTCTCCTTTCCACTATCAATGTTTTTCTCCGACGACTTGTAACCAATAGGGAGTTCAAAGGCGCTCGCCTATATTTCCCTTAATAAAGTGAAACTGAAATCTTCACAGGAGGATCTCGGTGGTTGGATACAGAGTGACATGAAACCAGCACTACAGTGCAACAAGGTCGCAAAAAAACACTGTAGGAGTGCCGCATGCCATCAAAATGGCGTTCATAACCTTCGACAAAAACCATTTGGAAGAGTTTAGAGCAACTTTCTTCAGCCCTATTTTGAATATGGCATACACACGTGGCGGCCATGGCTTATAATGGACCAAACATGCCTTGAACGAGTAAAACGTAGTGCAACAAAGCTGGTGAACGGTTAATAAAACCAATCCTATATAGAGAGACTTAATATCCTTAATTCCCTCCCTCTGTGCTACAGGTGGCAAAGAGGTGATCTTATCCTCGTATACAAGATAACACGTGACCGTGAGCATGGATTCAGCTTTGAGGACATGTTTCAATGGCACCTTTCACCCCGTCTTGTTGGTCATTCAACGAGGCTACGGAGAAAATGTCCAGGCTAAATCTTCGTTCTGACTTTTTTCACGCAAAGGATCGTGGAGACATGGAACGATCTCCCTCAGTCACTCGTGGAAGTGACGTCTCTGCAACTCTTTAATAAACGCTTAGATGATCATTTTTGTCCCCTGTTTTCCCTGTACAGTCTGAACATGAGCTAAATACTCGAGACCCCGGAAATGTTTTCTCTGAAACATTGATACGCAAATGAATCAACTGTTATTTTAATAGCGGATATTTCCATTGTTCGCGTACGGTTGTATCTGATGCACTGACATGTAATAGAGTGTGCTTAAAGGCCTTGCCTACTATCATTACCAAATAATCTGAATAAGCAGAACGCAAAACCATTAAGTGGGCGACAGCTCCGCAGAAAATAAAAAACCGAATCGACAGAAAACACTGTCTCGTTATTCAGGGACTTCCAGAAAACACACGCAAGCAGCGGGTTTCCGAAGACCTATCATTTTTCAAAAGCCTATTTTATGATATTTTTGAACACACTAATGCAGCGGAAGGGGACAAGAAATTCCGCTTTGAGAAACAAATAGGAAATAAATTGGAATCAACACATCCCTGGCCTCCTAAATGTGTGCTGGTATGCATTGCGTGTGCCAGTCCCATTCTCAATGGGCAGATTAAGTAAAATTCTCGAACTCCGTCGTTTGTGATAAATGGACCATGAAGTCTTATTGGCCTTACTTTTGGGACTCTGTCGAACCCATTATCAGAGACGATTGCAGATGTAATTAGTGAAGGCCCTAATACTGCAGCGTTTAGTACGTAGCTGCCGTGGGGCCATATGCGTACTATAACTAACAGCTACCGCAATCACTGCTAGGTGGTCGTATATAGGACGATAATAACTCGTCAGGCTGCTACCGAGACGCTAATTGCCGCAATTTTACACTCCTCATTGGCTGTTAATGTGACGATTACTCAGCAATTCAGCCCGCTCTCACCAGGATAGTTGAACGCCCACACCCGCGAACCCCTTCGCATGACTGATTCCCCTGCTTAGTAAATATCTCGGCGTTGAATATGGTATCTGGAGGTCACTGCGCTAGTTGGTGGATTGCGGGCCTGAGAACCATCATTCGAGCTTTTGGCGGCTCTGACGGTTGTTAACATTTGTGAGGATTTTGGCCTTTTAAAACCTGAAAATATGGCCAGGTTCCGTGAAAAGAGCTGTTACCTGAGAGCTGACGTGTTGCTTCCTTACCACTGCTGCGTGTTCAGTCATATGCGTCCGGAGTAATCTCCCAGTTTCTCCAAAGTAGTTACTTTGTCCGCAACTGCATCAGATCCGACAAACGACTCCAGACGGTTCCTGCCGTGGCAGTGGGTCTTCCGTCCTCGTGACGTGTCACCGGCAGGTTGCTTCCGGCCTGCGTGCGATCCCGACTTAGAATGAAGTGTGAGGACGGTTGACGGCTTCCGAGACATTCCTCACGTATTAGAGCGTTCGCCAAAATTAAGGGAAGGTTAGATTTAGATTCTGGTTTTGTCTGCGTACGTACTGATGGACAAGGTTAGCTCTCAAAGAAATCGCAATTCAGGAAAATTGTCTTTCGTTTTACTGCAGCACATCTTATGGCGCCTTTACGAAACTGTGTTTTTTTGACCGATCTGGTGTTTGCTGTCGAAATACAGTACTTGAGTCGTGTTTGTCGCTTTCCAGAGCACAGTGCCTTTTATGTCACCAAAATCTGTGCGGCAAACAAGGACATCCAGAAAGGCCAGCTGATTTTCCTCTTCCACCTCCATCGTAAATTGAATGTCCGACGTTCGTTGAATGGCAACACCTGATCCTGTCCGATGACAACGAAAGTATCGTCCACATACCGAGCGCAGAATTTCGATCTGTGGCGTTGGAAGACCAGCGACTCTAACCGTTTTAGGACCGCCTGGGCGATGAATCCCGAAATCGGCAAACTCATTGGTGTTTCCTTCACTCGCTTGTAGATTGTTCCGCAGGATACAAGATACGTTATAAGACAGAAATTCAGAAATTGGATGGTTTGGGAGTGTCCGAGGCGATCTTTCACTTCATTGTATTTTCCTCGTAGGAGTTGTTCGATGACCTCGACTGCTAGCTCCTACGAAATTGAATTAAAAAGGAAAGTGGCATCATGAGATTTTATGATGGCGCTTGTCAGGAGACTTGCCCCCTAAGTTTCTTGAAGAACTGTGTCGACCAGCTGACTTTGGTTGCAGAATCGAGGTCAGAAATATATGAAGTCTAAAAAGTCACTTCGCCAGTCCGTAGGCCGGAGTGCCCTTTAACGATATAATTGGCCGTAGTGGACAGCCAATTTTGGTAGTGCAAGTTTGGTAGATCGTAGAATCAGACGGGGCTCGTTCCATGCGTACACGAGTCGGCTGGTGAGTAGTATTGCATCTCACTACTCCGTTGCTAAAGCGTCACTTTGTTCTCGCGTGCCAGCGCTTTTAAGGGATTGAATTCGCATAGGACATGGGATTAGCGATCTGCCAACAAACGTTTGGCTAGTTGAACGTTCTACACGAAGCAGCTACTTCAGAGACACCTTAACTCGTTGACGCAACGTCAGTGAGTGTTGCTTATTTTAGAACTCTCAAACTAAATTCAGTACAGTCCTCTTAATATGTAGTATAAGCGAATAATCTGGGAGCGTCGACAAAAGCAATTGCCTGACGAAGAGACTTCCAATGGCGCTTGAAAAAAGAGTAAATTTTATCCTGATTTATACAAACAACGCTAGTATTTTCCTCTTCTTATGAATATTTTGGAAAAAGAACTAGGTCTTCTTTATTCAGTATAAATCAGTATATATGAGAGATAGAGGCAGAGCCTTGGAAAACTCTATTTACAGATAGACGTATGAAACAAACATGCAGATATTTACATAGCAGTTATACCAGTCATTGATATCATGTAAATGTTTGACCATCAAGCACAAATTTATCTAGTCTTCTTTTGAAAGTCTCGACGTTTTCCGCTAAGACAACGGAGTTCGGCATTTTATTTCATCCCCCAACCAGCCGGTGGGAGAAGAATTTGGTCCGCAACACGAGTTTGGCATATTTCGTCTTCAATTTGTATTGATGCCCTCGGAAATATGCGTCCGTGCCAGTTCGAAGAAATCATCAAACTGAAGAGCACAGTCTAGCCCTAGGACGATCCTGAAGACCATGATCATATCCCCGCTGTACTGCCTATAAGAGAGAGAAAATACTTATAGCTTTTCCATCCGTCTCTCATAAGGTAAGGTACTTAATCCGCTGACCAGCTTGGTCGCTCTTTGTTGTACGTTCTCCTGTAAGGCGTAATCTTTTTTCGTCCAGGGACACCATGCCTGGACACAATATTCCAACATTGGTCGAACTTATACGCCAAATACTCGGCCGAAAAGTTCTTCATCAAAATTGACGAAGGATCTTCTAATCGCGCCTAGGATACCCATAGCTTTCTTTGATACCTTGGCGCAGTGAGACGATGGTTTGAGAGTTGACTTCATCCACACACCGAGGTATCTTACCTCGTTGACTGATTCGAGTAGGTGACCTCCTATAAAGTAGTGAGATTAAAATCTCAACGGCCTCCTGTTGCTCGAACATAATCGGATAAGTTGGCATTTGTTACGATTTAGGCTAAGACACCACTCATCACACCACTGTTGCAAGCGATTCAAGTTGTCTTGTAACTGTACAAATTGAGATCGTCGGCAAACATTACGCGCTAGCAGTTCAGACAATCCAGGCAGTCATTCACATATATTAAGAGAAGAATTGGACCCAGAACGCTTCCCTACGGAACGCCACTGTGCACGGATGCCCATTCCAATTTAGCGTTTCGGATCCACACACGCTGAGATCTGCCCGTAAGAAAATCGGCTAGCCATTTCAAACGATTTCCATTCACCCCCACTTGACGTAGTTTAAATATAAGTCGTCTGTGTGGAACACTGTCAAAAGCCTTTTTGAAGTCAATGTACACGGCGTCGACTGATAAACCCATGTCGATTGATTTTGTCCAGCTCTCCATGGATACTAGGAGGTTGGTGAGACAAGATCGACCGCTTCGGAATCCATGCTGATGTAGACTGAGCAAGTTGTTTTCTTCGAGGTGCCGCATCAGTTCCGTTTTTATTACTCTTTCCATCAACTTGCAACAGATGCTAGTGAGACTCACTGGTCTGAAACTATTTGGGGCTGTTATCTCGCCACCTTTATATATGGGGCTTATATTTGCTTTCTTCCAGTCGGTAGGCAAAGCCCCAGTCTCCATCGAAGTTCTGAAGATCCTGGATAACGGAGAGGCCAGATGATCTGAGAGTTCATTCAG